ATTCCTGCTCTTCACTATCACTTCGGACCCTTATGATCTCTTTTTGTTTAATATTGATATTTTGATGATTTTTTTACTGTGGTAAAATAAACATAACATAAAATTTACCATTTAGTCCATTTTTAAGTGTATAGTTCGGTGGCATTAAGTACACTGACATTGCTGTGCAGCTATCACCATCATCCATCTCCGGAACTTTCTCATCTTCCGCAACTGAAACTCTGTACCCATTAAGCACAGAAGTGTGCATTACTTCACAAATTAATGTGTCATCCTTATGCAGGGGCCATACTAATCTTCTCTGTATCATTCTAACTTTAGTATACATGCTGCCAAAGCAAGCACCCCTTATAATCTCTTGCCTGATTATTTGCCATAGTCTTCTAAACACCTCCACTCTGCTAGCATCTCGAATGCCCACACCTCCCGCCATCAGAACTCGAGCTCTGGGACAGAGCATCATTCCCTGGCTTAAAAACCCTCCAGTGTCTCCACTTTCCTAGAAGATGGTATCCAGTCTCTCAAGCAGGGCATCCAAAGTCTCCCACAATCTGTCTCTGCTTTCTTCATCTCTATCATTATCATCCTGCCTCCCTCCCTCCCCACTGTCTCTCAACACACTTTTTCCGTGTGGGCAACAGGAGAAACCAACTAAACTAACCCCGATTCCATGCTTAGTATGTGGTTGACTTTGGGTGAATGTGAGATCCAAGTTCTTCCATTTCTCTGTGTCTGCTTTCCTTTCTTCCTGAAAATACATTTTTTTTTTTTTTTTAGCCCATTCACTGTATATCACTTTGCTGTGAAACATTTCTGAGCTGCCTCTGTTCCTCAGTGACAGTTAGCTCCCCCTTCCTTGGGGCTTCCATGCTGGTGTAACACTAGGCACGCTGAATTTTGTCTATGGCAGTTGTATCTTAAAGATCAAGCAGACCTAGAAATAGCCCATTCTCAGAAACAGAGCTGAGGAATAGCACCTCCATTCTTTTGGGTCAGCTTCTTCCATGTCTTTTCTTTATCTCCACTCCCTCAGCAGGTGTAGCTTTTCTTCAAGTTTCTTAGAAATCTGAAAACCTAAGGGTCACTAAGATTGAGTAAAATATCTCTTCCCTGCAACTGGCTGGTTTATTTCTTGATTTTATGGAAGACAGTCCAGACACAGACCCGTTTTCCTTCATTAGCTTCATGAAGGCAGCTCCTGGCGGTGGGAGAGTGCGGGAGTCCAAGCCAGAGGAAGACCTTTCAAGTGGCATTAAGCACTTACGAGGATGCCTGAGGCCAGTTCCTGAGTCTTGCTTCTGGATTGTGTATGAGGAGTGTCAGGAAACAGAACAAAAGTTCTCTCTGTCCTCAAGACACATGGAGAGCATTCCACTCAGACCAAAAGTGCCCCTTTCACAAACACTGCAGGACTCAGCACAGGCCTGGGGACTTGAAGGATGCCAATCACAGTCTTGGAGTCACAGGCTCCATCTCTGCCTCCACCGTTGCCTCATTTTGGGGCCTGAGGATGATGTCCAGTTGTGCTCTGAAGTTCTCATTAGAGGCCAAGCATAGGGAGGGGGTGTAGGGGGAGCTGATGCTTCACTTAGCACGGTCCTCTTTACTCTTCTCCTAGCAGGGCCTTAAGGATGCTCCCTGACCCAAAGCGTCTCTCCCCTTTATTAGTTAACTTCACTAATACTAATGCTATGAAGATAAAATATAGGGAGATACAAGAGTATATAATAGAAGGCTTGTTCTGGGGGTCATGGAAGCCTTCCCAGAGGAGGTGAAGTTTCAGCTAATATCTGAAGGATAAAATTGATTTTTTAAATGCAAAAGAGGATGATCATTCAGGCAGAGGGAACAGCATGTGCAAAGTCGCTGAAACAGGAGGGATCATGCGCATTTGAAGAACTTAGAGAAGGCCAGCATGGCTGAAGCATGGTGAGTAAGGCAGCTTGTGTGCCTTAAGATAAGGATGGAGAGTGAGGCAAGAACCAAATCACACATGACCTTTAGTGCAGGGTTAGAGGTCTTGGACTTTATCCTGAAACAACGGAAATCCACTGAATGGCTCTAAACAGGAAAGTAAAATGATTGATTAACATGTTCTTTCAAAGATCAGCCATTGTTCAGTGTGTATAATTTGTTTCTGTACATGTGTATATGCTGGTATATGAATTGAACAGTCCTGGAAGGGTATATAGCAGGGGTCTCCAAACCCCGGGCTGCGGACCGGTAGTGGTGCATGGCCTGTTAGGAGCCAGGCCTCACAGTAGGAGGTGAGCGGCAGGCGAGGGAGTGAAGCTTCATCTGCCACTCCCCATCGCTCGCAATTCTGCCCAAACCAGCCCTTCCCTCCCCATTCCCCCATTCCCCCCCACCCCCCCCCCCCCGA